AGCCGCGGCCTCCGTGAAGACGCTGATCCTGCTGGCGTGCCCCGTCGTCTCCCTGCTGACGGCGTCCGTGGCCGTGCTCGCGGAGCAGGACGCGTCGCGGCGCGCGCTCCGCGCGCAGGCGCTCGGCCGGCGCCGCTTCGCGACGAAGACGGACATCGGCCGCACGTGGAAGTCGGTCACGGAGATCGTCGAGATCGAGTCCAAGGCCGACACCGACGCCTGGACGGGCTTCGTCCGCGCCTTCCTGCCCGCGCCGCTCATCGCGGGCGCCGTCGCGAGCCTCAGCGAGTCGTCGGGCCAGGACGCGGCCGTGCTCGCGTCGATCGTCGCGACGGCCTGGGGGGGCTTCCAGGTCGCCGTGAGCTTCGTCGCCTGCGAGTACAACTTGGCGCGGGGCGAGGAGAGCGTCGCGGCCAAGAGCCGCAACGCGGGCATCGCCGAGGCCTACAGCGCGCAGGCGGGCAAGGCGAACGCGCAGGTGCCCTACGCGCACGCCATCTCCGTGCTCTGCGTGGGCACCGCCGCGCTCCTCGTCGAGGCCGTGCCGAAGATCCTGGCGCTGCCCCTGCCCTTCATCTCCTACGCGGCCGTCCGCCGCGCGGCCAAGTACCGGTCCCGCACGCGCGGCGACGCGGCCGCGGTCGCGGCGTCGGCCGACCAGCTCGCGGGCCTCCAGGACGGCTCCGACGACGACCCGCTCCTGCCCCTGAAGCTCACGTGGCAGAACTTCCGCGGGACCGTCAGCGCGACGAAGAAAGTTTTCCTCGCCGAGGTCCGCGTCCAGCGCCTGCGCCTCGCGCGCTGGCTCACGGGGGGGAAGGAATAACTGCGGCGTGTCGATGGCACAACACCCCGGGTTTTAGAAGCACCCGCTTCGCGGCGACCTCCGGCGCGCGCTCGCGCTGCCGCGACGCGTCGAAGGCCGCGACGGCCGCGAGGCCCCTGTAGACTCTTCTGTGACCACGCCTGTCCTGGCGCAGTCGTCGTCGACGACGACGCGAGAATGATTCGATGTCCCAGCCGTCGCCAGGAGGCCGAGGAAGAGGCGTAGGACGCCTCGTAGGCGTGCGTAGAGCGTAGGCTGAGCTGTCGCGCCAAGTCGAACCTCCTCGGCCCGAAATCGCGGTTTGCCAAGTGTTTGCCGTGCGAAACCAAAATTTGTCTCAAGCAAATGGTGTTTCGCGTGCTCGTCGGCGCTCTCGCCGCGGTCGGTTGCGTCTTCGGGGGGTCCCCCGCGGCCGTCGCCGGGCGCGGGGACGCGCCCGCGGCGCCGGCGCTCCGGTCGCTCGGCGTCAAGGTCCTCGCCCAGCGGCGCGAGCCCGAACTGCGGCGCCTGCTCGCGTCCCTCGACGCGGCGGACTATCCCGACGCGGCGGACATCTCCGTGGAGATCTTCGTCGACGGCCTGCCGCGGACGTCGTGGTTCGGGCGGAACCGCGGCCTCGGCCGCGACCGGAAGCACGCGCGCGCCCGCGCCTCCCTCTCCCTCGCGCGCGCGGCGACCCCCCCCCTCCCCCCCCAGGTACTCAAGACGGCCCGCGCCTGGGCGTCGACGTGGCCCCACGGCGAGGCGATCGTCGTCGACGTCAAGGAGAACCGCGGCGTTCGAGGCGCGTGGTTGGCGGCGTACGACCCGTCGGTCTTCGGCGACGAGGGGCGGCGCGCGGTCGTCTTCGAGGACGACGTCGTCGCGTCGCCGGCGTGGTTCTCCTTCCTCGCCGACGCCGG